ATTCCAAAGTCTGGACTTATGCAAAATCAGCATTCGGAGCCCGTTAAGACTCCATACCCGCAAGGGGATGGTTTTAAACGTACGACTCCCGACATAACCTTGGATCGCTCAAAGACAAAAATAAATTATCCTGAGAATGCTAACAAGGTTTTACATCCCCAGAAAAAGACGCATTCACCAAATGATATCGTCATACCTGGGAGGTCATGCCAACAAACGATACGATTTTTTGGCAATCATACCGATGAATCGTATTATCAAGTTGGGGGTGTGAATAAATTTTGAAAAAGAATTATTCGCTCTCATTATTCCTGTGCACGACTTATAATATCAGTTGTCCAAGATGATGAATTCCCTGAAGTCACCATCAACGTGGCTGATAAAAGAAAGTCTAAGCGGCATTCAAGTGACTCAAATCCTGACTTTTCCCCGAGAGGAAGAATCAATCCAAGAATTGCTCAAAGGATGTCTCGACTCCAATTAGGAGCCATCAGACGCAGAGATTACAAAAGAATGCAAGAAGGAATGTCCTCGGAGGATGAATTCTCGGACACTTATTCTGCAATCGCTTCTGATGATACAATGTCTAGCACAGGACAAATCAGAGAAGTATTCACAATCACTGCTGATCAGTTTACTCAAATACTTCAGGAAGCTCTAGCCAAACAACGTGAAGAAATTAGAGCTGAAGTGAAGACAGAAATGGAGTTAGCTATCCAACAAATGAGAGAATTGCTAGCTCAGCGGCCTCAACCCCCTGAGTCCAGTCAAAGAACTGAATCCGGCCGCTACACTCAGAAAGTTGTGGACGACAGTGATCCAGAAGTGGATGCAGTCATTATGGCTGATACATCTCCCAATAGCAATAACGCTGGGGGTGGTTTAACACATTCTCTCAATAACGATATTGGGAGTGGTTCAATGGCACCTCTTACAGGGGGTGGTCTAACTCATTCTCCTCAACGTCATTCGAATGAAGATATAGACGATGACGGGAAAATGAAAGAGCTTGAAAACAAAGTCAACGCTTTGATGACGGCTCAAGAAATTAAGAAGACGAGTATTCAATGTCCCTATCCAAGGGAATGGAATTCAATACCGTACCCGACGAAGTTCAATCTGATTAACTTCACACCGTTTGAGGGGAAGAGTTCACCGATTCAGCACTAGATTTATTTCAAGTCTCATTTAGGCATGATCTCTGGAAACGAGGCTTTAATGGTCCGGTCATTCGTTGGCACCCTTCGTGGGCCCGCCTTCGATTGGTACTGACGGCTCAAGCCAAGGAGCATCAATTGCTGGGATGACATGGAAAATTTGTTCCTCAGCAACTTCTTCGATGATGATACCAACCTCTCCATTGATGTCTTGGAAACTCTGAGGGTCGTACCATCCACCACTTGGAAAGAGTTAAAACTACGTGGTGAACAAGATGAAAACTTTCTTAAAAGAAAGAAAGTTGAGAGAGGTCAACCAACGACATCCACAATTCCTGTGAACGCAACTCCCGATCCGAGATTCCAAAAGGAGTATTCTTTCGAAGACAATGAAGCTCCAGCCATATTGGAATACCTCCTCGCCAATGACAAAAACGAGCTACCGCCTATTAAAGATCAGGAGGGTGCTAAGATGATTACAGATCCAAACTACTGTGCATATCACAGAAGGATTCTTCATCCCACCGAAATTTGCTTCGCAAAAATAAGATCCAAGCATTAATTGACTCCGGCGTCATAACGGCGAAAGAAGTCGAGTAAAGACGACCATATTACTCCATTGGGTACACGAGTATAAACTGTTTTCCCTGACTCCGATGAGTATACGAGTATAAACTGCTTCTCCATCTCACTCCGAAAAGTATACGAGTATAAACTGCTCCTTAATACTCCAACAGGTATATGAGTCTAAACTATTTCCTTTCTTTCACGGGAAGTTCCTGGAGAATGCCATGCATGGTACTTTTAAGGATAACCCAATCATATAGCTAAACATAATGATAAACTCAGTTTCGCAAGAAAAAGCTGGGGGTGGATGGTTCATGTAACGGAAGTTCCCGAAAGAATGCTATATGTAATTTTCTTAGGAATAACCCGATCAGTACAAACAAAGTATTAAACACTATATCCCCATGGTGATTTCCGAATATTCTTCCCTCTCAAACCCTCCTTTGGTCAAACCTTTAAACAGTTAGGACCAAAGCCAAAATCCCCTCTCGATTCGTTCCATGAACGAGAGGTCCACAAATTGAACGATCAAACCATTAAACAGTTAGGATGGTCTCAAATCCCCATGTTGGTCAAACCTTTAAACAGTTAGGACCAAAGCCAAAATCCCCTCTCGATTCC